CCCTAAATAGTATCATAATTACTCATTTTAAATTAGTAATAGTGTTAGGCTGAGGGTATGACTTTTTAAAAATAATGGATGAAACAGGGCCAGGAATTTAGCTCAGTGGCGCTGCACCTGCCTCGAAAGCACAAGGTCCTGAGTTTGATCCCTGGTACCAAAAAAAAAAAAAAAGGTGAAACGTCTTGAAATATCATCTTATGTCTTCCTTTCTCATTTTGGTGTATATTTGGGGACATTTCCTCAGGTGCTTCTCACTGGCTGACAAATCAAAAAGTTCAAAGACCATCAGGCTGAAAATGTTTTTTTAATTATATGCAATGTATAAACACAAATATTAGCAAAAGACAAACTGGGATGGCAAAGAGCAAAGCACAGTTAGCCGGGAGTTTTAGAAGACGACTATAGTCATTCACTTTCTGGAGGGCTCGACTTGGATGCCAGCTTCAGCCTCTGGTCTTGAGAGAGGGTTGAACAGTGCTCCCTCGGGGCTGGCAGGAGGTTGGGGCAGGTCCACACTGTCACCGCCATTTGGAGGTCGCTGTTCTTACTGGTGGAGCTGCATGAGCCACGGCAGAGGTGTGCGAGATGAGGTGCAGAGATGGCAGCATGGCAGCTGTGTTCCCTGCCCACACACTGTCCCAGAACTCAGCACTCAGCACAGTGACACAGGAGCGAGTGCAGCTCCCTCGCCCAAGTGAGTGGGCTTCTCGGGATGCTTCCTCTCAGACAGCGACGTGGGGGACACTCCTGACCCAGAGGCTGGGCTGGGATGGACAGCTCAGCATTTACTGCTCTGTCCCCTTCGGGACCCGTGGAGCCTGAGTCACCAGGTGAAGGCCCAAGCCTCCCCACACCCACCCTGATGCGTGTGCAAGCAGAGCGGCCAGCTGAGCTCCAAACCCACCCAGCCAGGATAGATGCCCGCTCTGCTGCTTTATGACTGCGAGTGTCACAGTGACGTGATCCAGATCGGGCAGCTTTGCTGGGTCACGATACTCTAAAAGGAACAGCTGCAGCTTTAAAACAGAGCTTCTGTTTGGCCCTGGGGAACAAGCGTGGGTAATGCCGGGTCTCTCTCCACACAGATGTATGGTCCTCAGGGCACTGAGGGGAAGTCAGGTGGTCACACCTGTGAGGTTGGTGACCTGGTTTTGGAAGACAGGAGGCCCCTGGGCCCCCATGCTCACAACCCTGCCCCTTTCGAGGACCTGTGCTCGCGCCCAGGTCACCTGATCCCTTTGCACAGAGCCCCGGCCTGGGCACAGTCACCAGTTAGGTGCAGCAGTACAACAACGCCCCAACCAGTCCCCGCTCCATCACAGCACGGTGAGAGCATACCCTGGAGCTGGGGCGTCCCCCCGCACCCCACAGATAGGATGATGGCACCGCATCACTACAGCATGTCCTGTGATGCCCGTGACCCCCTCCAGTTCTGGGTCGACAGAGCCTGTTAACCCTGGAAATCCTGCCATCCTGGGTGTCACTCATGATAACAAGTGCCACTCATCTTGGGACAAAACTAGCATTAAAATGTTCAAGGGAAAAATCTGTGGATGGTTTTGACAGGGATGAAGAGGCTGATCCTTTGGGGAGTTTATGTCTCAGCATGAGGAGGGCTTTGTATTACAAACCTTTGTGCTCAAAACATAAAACGCTGTGTTCCTCATTGCCTGTCATTTGAAACCGAGGTATTTGGCTTAAGCTTATTTTTCTCTCTAAGCAGGCAAGTCCTTTGCCCCAAGAGTGATTTTACAAAGTAAAGATATTTTTTCCTAAGTTGTGGAAAATCTGCACCCCTGCAAGTGACCTGCTTCCATGAGAAGCTAAAGAATGAAGCACAGGCTGTGCGGATAAAGCCCACCAGCTGGCCCACATGCTCCCTGGGTTAGTACTCAGCTCAGGACGCTTCATGCCTCGAGAGCCACCTGCCTTGCTTTGCTTAGGGTCATAGAACAATATCATGGTTCAAATGACAGCAGGTTAATCACCGCAAAGGGGACATGGTTGCCATTTGTGGGCTGCCCATCTTCTCCTCTAGGGAACATGCCCTCCCCAAGGTGAGATTCATGTTTGCCAGGGGTGAGCTTCCTTCTACCCCTCATCTCTGGCTGCTTGACTCAATCATTCACTCTCTCTTGCCCTCAGTTTCCCTCCCTACCTGGGAGATGCAGGCATCCTTATCCTGACTCAATCTCAGATCAGTGTGAGAACCAAACAGTATGGCACACATGTGGAGGCGTGGGTGTGAAGGCAGGCGTGTGAAGACAGGTGTGTGAAGACAGGCGTTTCGAGGCATGTGTGTGAAGACAGGCATGTGGAGACAGGCGTGTGGAGGCATGTGTGTGAAGACAGGCGTGTGAAGACAGGCGTTTCAAGGCATGTGTGTGAAGGCACAGGCATGAGATGCAGGAGGCAGAGAAGAGCCTCAGTGGTGGCAGCCACCCCAAAAGGCCTTGCTGGGTAGAAGTCACCTCCTGCTGGACTGGAGCTTTTTCCTTTCTTTGGACGTCTCTCCCGCCCCTGCTCCTGGGGCTTCAGGCAGGTCAGCCCTCCTCCCAACACTGAGGCTCCCCTTTTGAAGCTTTCAGGCTTGGGCTGCTGTTCCCCTCTGCTGCCCGGAGGCCTGTGTCTGTCCTGTCAAGGGCACACAGTAAAGTGACAGTGAAGGACCCCTAGAACCCTGGCTGGCCCAGGGAAATGACAGCCCATGCTACTCAGCTGAAGGGAGCCGCAGGGAGCCCCAGCCCTCCACGCTGTGGGGTGCCGCCCGTCTTGGCTCATCTCTGGGCTTATTTTGACTTGGATGCTCTTTGTGGCAAGCGTTCCTGGCTAATAACCATCTGAGAGCAGTGTTGCCTGTCTCACAAGTTGCCTCCCAACCACCGGAAATAAGGCCTTGGGCATCACTGAGCTGCTTCAGTCCCTTCCTTGGGACTGCCTCTCCAAGGCTGCTCCACACCAGGAGCTGTCCTCCCACCTGACACCCCCAGGTGATGTGCTGGCGACTCCAGCCTGAGGCCCCTCCTGCTCTGGCTTCCTCTCACCCCAGGATCTGCTCAGGAGCCCACAGTGGTGGTCTGAAGTCCTTTTTGGAGTGAAGAGACAGAAACGATGACAGAGAGATGGGGCAGAGCAGCTGAAACAGGTGCACTACGGTCAACAGGAGGAACAGGTACGTAGTGGAGAGTCCACCAACCTGGACCTCGGGTCTTCAAAATGATTAATATCATTGATACAGAAGCAAAGAGAGAGGAGGCTCAAGCCCAGCCCGGGGAAGTCAGTGAGGCCCTGCCACAAAATCAAAAGGACTGAGGATGCTTCTTAGTGCAAAAATCCTGAGTTCATTCCTGGGGGGCGGGGGTGCGGGGAGAAGAAAGAGGAGGAGGAGGAGGAGGAGGAGGAGGAGGAGGAGGAAGGGAGAGAGAAAGGGAAGGAAAAGGAAAAAACTCACCCATCACTACTGCTACTGGGAGGATGGGACAAGCAGCTCTCCTGTGAGCACATTGGTGCCTGAGGTGCACACTCTACCGCAAGGGCAGCTATGAAACCCCACAAGGTCCTACACACATTGCAGAAACCCAATCTAGTAAACCCTGCCTCTCTACAGAGAGGAGAGCAGTGCGTTCCCGAGACTGCTAACCCAATGCACCAGGCCAACACCTGCGAGCCACAGGCTGCACAAGCCAGCACAGGGACCTGGCTGTGCCCCTCACGATATTACCAGGAGGCCCGGGCAGGTATGACCCAAGGGTGCATGACACAGGATGCATCACGGCCAAGAAAAGCTATCTCAGGAGCAAGAGCCTTGTTTAATATTCAGCAGTCCATCAGTGTAAATGCAAAAGAAAGGAGGAAAACTACATGATCAACGCAACAGATGGAGAAAAAGCATTCCATAAAGTTCGATCTGTTGATGATAAAACTCTCAGCAAACTGAAGCAGAAGCTTCCTCATCTTGACAAAGGTGCCTGGAAAATCCATAGCTAACATCAGGCCTGACTGGGGGAGGCCCACACAGTCACAGGCACTGGGACAAGAAAGTGCAGCAGCTGAGGGTGACCACACAACCGTGGCTGATGTCAGGGGAGACACGGAACTTTGGCCCTGCCATCCACCACACACGTACAAGAATTGGAAATGGGTCACAGATCCGAAGGGAGCAGAGAAGGGATGCAAACATCAGGAGGCTTCCAGAGAATGGGCAGGAAAGAGTCTTCTGACCTTGGCATTGGTGAAGAGGGCGGGTAAAAGTAACACCAATGGTAAAATTAAAAAGTGAAAGATTAAACCTCATCAAAATCAAAAGACACCATTAAGAAAGCTGAATAGCAAGCCATGGTCTGGCAAAAATATTTGCCATACATCTGTGAGACAGAGGACGTCTATCTAGAATAGATAAAAACTGCAAGTAATAAGAAAAAGAAAAACAACCTAATAAAACTGGCAAAGACAAGCAGACAGTTCACACAGGAGCACCTCCGAAGTAGCCAGTGCGGGTGTTAAAAAGGGCATAACATTGATACTCATCAGGGGAATGCAAATTAAAAGCACAATGAAAAGAAGCCACTGCACACCCAGTAGGACGGCTAAAGTTAAAAAGACCGATATTGGGCTGGGGATTTAGCTCAGTGGGTCCACCGCCTGCCTCGAAAGCAGAGGGACCCGAGTTCTAGCCCCTGCACCAAAGAAACAAAAACAAAAGGCTGATATTACCAAGTCTTGGCAAGGACTGAGCAGTGAGAACTCCCACACGCTGGAAATGGCGCGACCACTTCAGAAAGCATCTTGCCAGTTTCCAGCAGACGTGGATGTGTGTCCACCTGGCAGCCCAGCACTTCTGTTTCCAGGTATGTACCCTCAAAGACCGAGTGGCTCTGCCCACAAGCAGGGCGCTCACAGCAGCCCTGTTCATAGTGCCCAAAGCTAGAAGTGACCAATGCTCAGCAGGGAAGACGGATGCACAGGGCAGGATGGAACCCAGCGATCTAGGCGCTTTGCCAGGCACCGCACCCTTGAGCCCCGAAAGTTAGACTGAGGGAAAGGTCTGGCTGCGGAGGACTCACAGGTCCCATGTTATGTGACTCTAGGAAGGCAAAGGGGTCTCGGGAGACAGAAGTCAGTGGAGGTTGCTGCATGGTGGGGGTTGTGGGGGAAGCACCTGGGAGGGGCGTCCTGTGGGGCAGGTGCGGCCGGATGCAGACTCTGTGGGCTGTGTCTGTCGATGGGCACTTCCTGTGTGCAAATCACACCTGAGTCTAAGATCGAGCTGCTTTTGAGGCCCAGACACACAGAGGAAATCAGTGAACACAGGCACAGGGGCCCAAGGTTGGATCACTGGAGGAGGATAGCCCTGTGCCACCCACCGCTGCAGGATGTTGGGATTCTCTCTTGATTTCAAGGGTTTTGAGGAGACACCCAGTGTGGGCTTGATTCCTCCCTGAGACACCATCGATGGTGGACAAAGATTGCGCTAGCTGATTTGCAGTGTTGAAAATCAATTGGTGTTTTACAGATGGATCATGTCTACTTTGAGCTTTGTGCCTCATTGAGGCACGCTGGACATGTACCACACTGCACACTGCATTTGAGAGGACAGTTTGTGGAGTTGGACCCAGGTCCCCCATGAAACCACATCTGGATACAGAGAAGGAACACACCCACCGCCCGGCAGGTTCCCTTCTCCTGGTGATCCCTCCACCCTGACCCCCTGGACCCCAGACAGACAGGGTTTACGCTTGACCGTTGTGGACTAGCTGCAGTTTCCAGAATTTACAGATATTGAATCACGCTGTGTACAACTTCAACACAGGCAGCCACGCTGTGTATGTGGTTTTTTGAAGTCTCGCTTCATGGAGTCAACTACACTTACTGTGAAACTCACCCACGTGTTGCCTGCCTCATTTATCCTTAGCTGTGAGCTGTGTGTCACTCACCCTTCCGGACCTTTGGCTCATCCTCAGTTCCAGGCGATTATAAAAGATGACGCTGCTGAGCACAGGTCCTTTTGTGGGTCCATGATGCAATTGCTCTTGGTGGGTGGACCCTGCAAAGTCTGCTGCTTGAGTAACTGCTAGGACTGGAGTAGCCGGCCACAGTTTTGGTGTGGGTCAGGCGGGCACCCAGCAGCTCCCTCTGGGGCGGCTTGCCCTCCCCACCTCCCCAGAGCAAGGTGCTCACAGACAGCAAGGCCTGTGTGCTAAGGGGCCAAAGGAGACGTGAGCTCCAGGGCCTTGCTCTGTGAAGGGCTGGGTCCAAAATGGTTCACGTCTGAGCCAGCATGGAGGCTTCTTCTCATTTGTTTCTTTCCTTTCTTCCAAATATTAGCAGAGTGTCCTGCATCCCACCAGCTGATTGGGGAAAGTTTTGGGGTTCTTGAGGCCACTGACCCAGCCTCTCCCTGCCCTGGGGGTGACCCTGTGAGGATTTCAGGACCTTTCTAAGATGGTCACATGTCTGTCATTGTGAAAGGTGGCCGCCACTGTTCCTTTGTGCAGGGTGCTGGCCTTGGCATTTAGGGGTCTGTGAGGGGCAAGTCCACCCCGAGGTGTCTGTGGTGATAGGGACATGGTGCTCAGGGAGGACAAGGGCAGCAGAGTGGAGGGTGGCTGGGACTTCCAGCCCAGCCATGACCTTCAGCAGACAGCTCTGCCCTCAAGGGAACAGCTTGAGGATGGGTGGAGTCTGAGGTCCACCCAGAGCTGTTCTCAGGACACTGACACCAGGTGAGTGTGCATGGGCCCATGCTGCTGGCCAGGAGGGCGAGAGTGCCTGCCCCAGGATGCCCTGCAGGAGCAGGAACAGAGGAAAGAAACATCTCCATTCACACTTGAGGTAGACTGTGCAGGGTGGGTGCTTGAGGCTGCCAGAGGGCAGCCACGGTGATGTCGCCTCCTTCCCTGGCCATCCAGGACCTGCCGGCCACAGGGAGGGGATGGCATGTCTCCACAGCCTGCACCTTTGCCACCGAGGGCCGGGGCCACACCAGAGCACAGTGCCAGCTTGCCAGGGTGAAGCCGCCCCACGCGGCTGCCACAGCTGGGGTCCTGGGCAGCAGATGGCGCCCGGCCTTCCCACTGAGTGCTGGAGGTGATGACACGGGGACACCGGCCCTGGACTGGAGGAACATCGCTGCCTGCCGGGCCTCTTCAACCACCACAGCCACGGCTCCCAACACCTCCATAGAGGCAGCCTTGCCCGAGTGCTGCTTCTGACCCACAGGTGAGGGATGCGGGACCAAGCGGGCTTGTCACTGGGCAGATCCAGTGGGAAGACAGCCCCGGCACCAGGCCACAAATCATACCTAACAACTGCTCGGGATGAGGATGGCCCAGCCCTGTGAGCCAGAGCCCTGCCGGGTTTAGAATTTTAGCACAAGGAGGGAGGATCCGACCAGGAGGCGGGGCTCGGTGCCGGATGAGAAGCTAGGGTGGCTGGATGAGCTCTGTGGGTGCACAGTCGCTGGAGGAGACCGGCCTTTACTACCAGGGTGCTGCCCCTCCTAAGGGGGCCCGGGGCCTTGAACGCACACCCTGCTGCCTGTGTCCTCAGGGTCTGAGGGAAAGGGCACAAAGGCACAAAGGCGTAGGAAGGACCTGGCCCCTGGGTGGGGCCAGTGTGCATCACCTCCCTCCCTCTGCTGCGACCCCAATCAGCAGAGGGCGGAGGGTCTCGGAGAAAGGCAGGCTCCTGTCAGCCCCCGGGCCGCGTGAAGCGTGCCCTGTGGAAATGACTTCGGGCCACATCTCCCAAAGCCAGGCATTGCAGGAGCCAGTAGAGGATGAGCTCCCTGTCCCCGGACCTGAAGCTGGGGTGTCTGTGGGGGCCTTGGTGGACCCCCATAGGGAAGGGGCCTTTCCTTAGGGGACCAGCTGCCTGGGCCTTGGCCGCCGGACACTGGCCCCACAATGGGACAGCGCCTGTGTCCTGCAGGCTGGAGGCAACACGGGCTAGCAGGAGGAGGCGGTTCCCCGGCTGGGCAGGCCTCACTGAGGCCGCCTCTGGGTGACCTCTCCTCTCCCTGGAGAACCCATGTGGCTCCCTGGCGCTGCGTGCGTTTGCCTGTGGTTAGGAGTCTGTGAGCAAGATGGACACCCCAGCAGCCCTCCAGCCCCGTCCGATGTGTTTGGGGTGGGGGTGTGCTTGTGCCCTCAGCTGAAAAAACAGGAAACTTCCAAAATGTGTCCAACTTCCCCTAATCAGGCTATCTTCTCTTCCCATAGAACTTCAAATTTTGGAGGCAGCTCTGATGACAGACCCATCTTAATGTCCACTTGGAGATGCAAGGATGGAGGTCTTTAGGACAGTCCTTCCCTCTGGTCACGTTGGCCACCCCCCATCTGACTGCACCTCTCAGGGTAGGCAGCAGGTGGCAACATGGAGCAGTCCTGCAGGAACTGCCCCAGGAACCTGGCGCTGTGCATTGGGTGTAGATGGCTCCAGCCACCACTCCATCAGCCAAACCGCAGCCACTAAATTGTTCTGCCTCACGCAGCATCTGATTCACTTAAAACTGCCAGAAGGAAGCTGAGAGCAGCTGCCTACTCCTATAGCAGATTTCCTGCTTCAGGGGCGGTAGGGGACCCAGGGCTCTTCCTGGCCCTGCCTTGCACCCATACTTATTTTATTCACTTGTGTTCTGAATATATCATGGGTCTTTTTCCCCCCTAAAGGGCTTGGGGCGCACTTGGGCCAGGATGGAAATGCATGATATCCCTGACAGCTGTGTGGCCACCTCTTCCGGAGAACAGGACACAGCAGTCTAATTCCTCCCCTGGAATTAGACTGATCTGCCCCTGTCAAGCAGAAGCCAGCTCCTTAGGTGTTTGGGTTTTTAAAGTATTGCCTGGAGAGAAGGTGAGCCGGTCCCAGCACCTGGAAGGAACCTCTCCCGCCACCATCCCAAGCTCCTAGGGCAGAGAAGGTGAGCCGTGAGGGTGCCAGAAGCACCCCGCCCCGCCGTGGAAATGAGAAGACACATGAACAAGTCTCAAAAACAGACTTCTGGATCATCTACAGCAACCCCAAAGGGAAACAAGATGGAACAATCTGATACTCAACCACCTGGACTCTGTGAACTGGCAACAAAAGA